TTTGATTAACGAAGAGTGGCCGGAGAAGGGAACTGGCCCCGTGCCATCATGTACAGGAGGATTACATCTTCTTTGGCTGGATGATGGGTTCCTTCTGCTTTTGAGAAAAAGAAGCCCCGTGGTCCTGTGGGCCACGTCAGCCACTGCCCGTGGGCTTCTGTGTGGGGAGGGTGCCACTTGCTGCTGGGCTGGGGAGGCAAGACGTGCTCTGGCCGCACGCTGAGCCGTGGTTAGCGTGGTACCCATCCTGCTGCAACCAGGAGGAAGCCCCAGGAGGTAAATGCTAATTTATGCTCCATACGGTCCCTATTAGACCCTGCAGTGAGCAGCCAGTAACACAGAGCTCACGTGTGGATTGTGCTGGGTTTTATTGACTGTGAAAGTGGGGAATAGTCCAAATATAGCCATAAAAGATCAGGGTCGGGTGCTTCATTACTGCAGTGAGTTAGGAGCATTTCCAGGGGGAGGCATGTGTTGGGCTGGTAACAGGTTCTCCTTTGGTGCAGGCAAAGCCTTGAATGGGTGTGAAAACTGGAGGCTGAAGGCAGCAGATGGGAGAGGTGAAGAAAGAGGAGGATGTTTGCAGCTGGGGGTACCGGGGTGCCCGAGGCCGTGCGTGCTGCAAGGGACCCATGACAGGAGGATGCTGCCAGGCTCCGTGGTGGATCCCAGTCCCCCCAGGAGGTACAGCAAGCTGGAGGCTGCGGATGGCTGCAGGAGCAGGAGAGGATGGCAAACCCTTCCTAACCTTGTTGAAGAGGTTGACGTGGATGTTGAAGGATCCTAGCAGCAGTTTCCAGGTAATGCCGTGCACAAGACTGACCGAACGCCAGCCGGGAGTGGGGGGGTGGTTTCCTGGACTGTTTTTCAACCTTACCCAAGCACTTCTCCATCCCAGATCCCAAGTGGTGATGCTGTGCTGAGGCCAAACATGACATGACAGGAGCCAAACCATGGCAGGAACTTAGGGACCTGTAAAGGTAGAAAGTTAAAAGGCACTTGGAACTTGTTTTTCAGGCAGGTTTATGGGACATTGCTTTAGCCTCACCCTCTCCATTTACTGCAGGGTGCAAGCGGCCTCAAAATTGGTCCATTTGTTTCTTGTGGCTTCTGTTGCTGGTCTGGCAGCAGAAAGGCTGGAGCGTTGGCCCTGTGGCTGTGTTTTTTTCCAATGGATTTGGGAAGCGAGTGACTAATATCATGGTAAACAAGCAGGGCCGGGTGTGCCGCGCTGCTCAGCATCCCACTGCTGGTGGCATCCGTGGTGGGACGGGCTGGTGGCAACTGGTGTCTTTTTCTTTGTTCGGAAAGAGGTTAAAGTAATGACATGAGGAGCAAGCAAAGCACCATCAGTGGGTCTCACTGTATTGCCATCTCCTTGTGCTGCAAAAATAATAGACTAGGGATGTGTGCCCAGCTGCTTCCTCAGCACCTCCTGAGCCCTGGGCCAGCTGCAGCACTGTCCCCTTCTCGGATTCCAGAGGATGCTGCAACCCCCTCACTGCAAGGACTTGTTCCTTGCAAGGTGCAGCACAGAGGAGTTAAAATGTCTTGTTACAGAAGACAGTACATGGTTCTGCTTTAGTCTGGCTGCACGTGGAAGAGCCCTGCCTGGCTTTCGCAGAAGGGCTCCTCTTTCCTGGAGTTAGTCATACAAAAAAGATTTCAGGAGGGTCTGCTGGAGTCTCTCCCACTGTGTGCATTTGTACTGCAGTAATAGTTATTATTGGCTGCAATTGCAGATTTTTTCCATTATTAGGGATGATATGTGCACGCGTTCAGGCCCCCTCCTCCTGTGTGTGACGCCGGCTGGCCCTGCCCTTCGGTGGTGCACGGAGCAGCCCGTGTGCTGGGGGCGGCGCAGGACCAAAGAGAGTCTGTAAAAACCTGTCCCAGCTAGATTGCTGGCTTTCTTTTGGGAGAAAACATCTCTCTGGTGCCTGAAAAAGCCCCCTTGTGACTTACGACTTCAGCAGATTTCATCTGAGGAAAGTCCTTATAGAAGAAGAAATAAAGAAAGGCATTGCAGTTCTACATGCAGTTTTTTGGACCTGGTTTAAAAAATGCAATTTTTTAGACCTGTTTTCTAAAAATGCAGTGGGGTCCAAAGCAAACACTGGGCAGCATCGGAGAGAGCAGCCTGGAGATGGGTTTTATTCATTCTTCACTAACTAATAGAGGGCAAACCTGTGTGTGGAGTGCTGACAATTAATGGGGCTTGAATTCTGCATTTCTGTTGAAATTGGATGGTTGTCTTGGGACCAATCTCCCTGCACTTCTGGTAGGAGTGATGGGGGTGGCTGCCCTGGTGCGTGGAGGGGCTGTAGAGAGCACAGCACTGCAGGGCTACGTGGGTCACTACTTCTTCATGCCTGCTGATACGGGCAAGCTTTAACATCCCGCTGTATGCCGCGGACAAGACTAGGAGGGGGCAGGGAGGCTGCTGCACGAGTGTGAGGGGAAAATCCCCCTTCTCCAATGTTTGCCCTGGGCTGCAGACACAGGCACTTCAGCACAAGCACCTGCAGGCACGTCTCCAAGAAAGCATCCCAGACTTGCAGCACCCGAGGAGGGGAGGCAGAGTCAGAGGAGCTGTGATTTGCTCCTACTGCTCGTAGCTGGAGGAGGCTGCAGGCATCAGCCCTAGAGGTGTGGGCCAGTTCCAGTCTGAGCTTGGTGGCTTCATCAGATCCGGACTTTGAACGTTCTAATTCACTCTAATAGTAATGTAATGAGAAGAGAAGAGCGAGAAGCTATCACGATAGCTTCGTGAAGCTAGCTGGACACCTAGCACCAACAGTCCAAACCTGGCCCTGTCTTCCCTCTGCAGTAGACCACCCAAGCTGCTCATGACTGTTGTCCTACCCAAGGGCATGAGCCTAGGGAGGCAGAAAGCCCCAACCAGACAAGCTTCTGTCTGGAGCTGTTTGCTTTGGATCATTACTTATTTATTTCTTTTTACACCCATCTTCCAGCAGAATTAAGGGCAGCAATGGGAAGAGCCCTGTAACACTGCTTGAAGAATCTTAAAATGCTTTATGCTCATTGCAGTTCTCATCCTTACAGCACCTTTGGGAAACGAGATGACATTCCAATGCCCATTTTACAGCACCGTGCACTCAGCACTGCTGAAAAACAAATCCTTAGTAGTGTTAGCTCTGGAGACAAAGTATGAATATACTTGAGTTGCACGTATCCAATCTCACTGCAGTGAGCTCAAGAAGCGCAATTATTATTATTTTTAAGCTCATATGTGATTTAGAGTGACTAATTACTGAGAGTTCCCCCCTCCTCCTCATTTTCTGCAGGAGTGATGTCAAAGCACAATAATTATGGCCACTGCTAAAGGGAATAGGAGATAAAACCAACTCCTATTACCTCCAAATGGCCCCACATGTGTTCTTTGTCTATATCAACAGACACAGTTTGTGCTGGAATAATGCATTGACTATATATTTAATCTTTCACCCAAGGATCGAAAATTGCTTTCCAATGAACCGTTAGCTGAAGGATCCCCACACAGCCCTGATGAGATAGGCAAGAAGACATGGAAGGTGTGAAACAGTCCATCTTTGTAGCACTGGGAAGGAAGACAGCTGTACTGTGATTGTGCTCCATGGGGAAACTACAGCTGGAGGAGCTGAGAAGGGACAAATAGGCCAAGCCCAATGTTTTGGAGATGTTTTGGACACGTTACAGTGATGCTACAGCCTCCTGCTGAGCTCGGTGCTGTCAGTAGCCAAATGAGGTAGTTTAAAGGCTGCTGAGTGGCTTTCGATGTGGCTCTGCAGTGAAAGGAAATGCCCTCAGAGAAATGGTCTCTAAAAAAAGGGTTGCAATGCCACGCAGAGACCAGCAGCTGTGCTGGGACTACCAGCCCAACAGAAAATCAATTGCTAACAAGACTTTCCTGCTAAGATCTGGGGTGGCCCAGGAAATGGGGCTGCGAGCGGAAATTTTTGGGAGCCACCACTTGTCTGTGGTCCCTGGAGACTTACATCTTATGCCCCGTCCTGGTGTGGGTCACCTCCAGCTGTGCAGGACCAGCGACATCATGATGGGGAGCATCCATCGCAGGGTCCAGCGGTACCACCTGGGGATTTTGGAGACCTAATTCCCAAATACCAGCTTCCCTTCTGTGCTCACAGCCCCTGCCACTGAGCCAAGACACCCAGGGAGAACCAACTCTGTGGGCCAGCACTCAGCAGGAGTCCTGGCAGCAGCTGGATGCGATGCCTTGGTCTTCACCCATGTCTATCCCAAAAATGTTTGGCCAGACTGGCATGTGGCAGCTCCAGGGATGCACAGCACGACCCCCCCCCCCTCCAGTGCCTGGGAGATTCAGGGGGTCTGCAATGATCAAAGCACTTCACAATGCAAAAAAAAAAAAAAAAAAACCAAAACAAAACCCAAAAAACCAGGCAAAGCCTCCTTGGCCATGTTGCCCACCAGTGTCGTGTCCTCAGCATCTCCCCAGCCCAGGCAGGGCCGGTGCTGCGCTGCCGACCAGGCCAGGCAGGGATGTCAAGGGAAGTGGTTTTGGGGGGGGCTTTTTCACATTTGAACTTGTGACTCAGTTACCAACCGTTGTTACCTTCACATCTCTGGCAAATCAAGAGAGGACCACTGCATTAGTTCTGTGTCACCAAGGAGAGCTTAAGTATTGTGATTAAAAAATTCCAGTCTCGCATAGTCTACTCAGACATGCAGGAGGAAACCTTTGCAATTAGATTCCCTGTGCGTTGGCGAGAGGGCAGAGGTTCCTACTTTTTTTTTTATTTTCCATTACTATATTCTTCTGTGATTTTAGAGCAGCAGGGAAAAAAAAAAGCCTATTTGATTTTTTTCATTATGCTAAGCCTGGTTTTACTTTCTGATTGCCAAAGCATGATAAATGGAACAGAGATTACCTAGAGATTTTCAAAGATTTGCTTTCAAATTTTATTTTTCCTGAGCCTCATTAAGCTTGCAGGTTTTATCTAACATTTTGTTCTTATGGTAGAGTAGCATTGCTGTATATTAATAACCATATTTTTTCATCTGAAATTAAAACCAGATAGAGGCTTCTCTTGCTTTACTTTCAAATCCTATTTTAAAAAATATTGATCATGTGTGTGTTGTTTTTCTTTTCCTCTGACCCCGCTGGCTCCGTAAAGGACAGTCACGAATGAAATGCTTTCAGTCCTGGATCTCTGTGCATTACTGTGTGCAATTTTTTAGATGTAGGGACAGATTTTAGAAGGTATTATATACATATAAAAGAAAAATGTGGTTTCCAACAGAGAGACAGGCAAGAAAAATAAGATTTAAAAGCAGGATCTCTACAATTAGGGGTACAGAGCAGCTTGGACATGATAAGATAGCCCCTGATGTGTGTAGGCACATCTTTTTGGAGCTAAATTCTATCAAAAGCTCTTGTCCTCTACGACTATGGGAGAAATGGCCAAAACCCATCCCATGGCTGAGAGCCCCGGGGCACAGCCTGGGTGCTGCTCTCTAGGAGAGGTTTGGAGGAGGGTGGCAGTGACCGGGCATGAGGACATGGGACACACACAAAAGCCACCCCAATATACCTGTTTCTTCTGCCAGAGCCAGGAAAGCTGACCCACCTGGGTGTTCCAGGTGTACATCTTCCTCTTTCTGTGCCCATCCGTGAGCCCACAGGGGTCTTGGGGCAGCTTGAAGATGTGATGAAAAGGTCCCCTTTGTGCCACCTACTTGGTGTGGGAAACAGCTTCCATCGTGGGATGGTGGGACCGTGCAGGAGCTGGCTGTGTCCTCCAAGGTCCTGGGGAAGGTGCTGGAGATAAAAAGCCCAAGACAATTTCTCTGTTGGTGCCTTGCCTTGTTATCGTAAGAATGGGAAACACGGGTGCACAGAGTAGGGTGAGGCCAGACCACCCTTCAGGTGCCACTACACCACCCCCAGCCACGCTGGGAGCACCATGACCTGGCGCAAAGGCGAAGCCCTTCATCCCGAGACCAGCCCAGCCCTGCCTCCAAGGCTCAAGGTTCCCCTCTTGACTTTCTTCTCCAGACGTGACCCCAGGAGCTTTGCTCGAACTGGAAAGCAGCTCAGTTGGAAAGGTTTGCTGTAGTTCCTCCAGACCCGCTCAGCAGGCTCTAATAATAGCTAACTGCCTTTCTATTTATAAATGAGAACAGCAGCGAGGGACTCTGCTCCCACTGCAGCCCCGCTGCTCCCACACCACAGCACAGCTCTCAGCCTCTGCCACTGAGCTGCTCAGCCCCGCTGTCCTGCCAGAGCCACCACAGCCCTGCCATCCTGCCTGGGAAAGGGCATTTCCCAGGGCTCTTGCCTTTGGATACACACTTTTTTTTTTTTTTTTTTCCCCCTTTTTTCTGCTTGCTGACAAGGGAATATTTTCTTTCTTTTTTTTTTTTTTTTTTTTTTTTTTTTAAAATGGGGATTGTTTTTGTAGCTGCTCCTCCCCCATTTTGTAAAACAAACATTTCCCAAGAGCCTGATGTTTCAGATGCTGTTATTGTTACCGGAACATCAGTGCGAATGTCAGAAAATGCATTTCTTAGTGGAGCCTGTGGATTTTGTGCTGCCCATCTCCCACTAGCCAGCTGTAAGGCAGAGGACCGACGGATCCTTTCAGCTGAGCCAGCTGGATGTGGCCCGTGTTGGGGCTGAGCTGGAAAAGCATTTGGGTTTAGTCAGCCCGAGGCTAGCTCTCGCCCAGCCTGCAGGCACGAGGGGAGCATCACCTCTGCTTTGGCTGCGTCAGCTGGAGCTGAGGCTCGAGTCAGGCTGAAGCTGCTTTTCTGGTTCCAGTCTCACAGCAACTGGGCATCTGCAGCCAGTTCTGGTTCTACTCCCAGCGTTGCCTCTGCTCCCCTTCCCAACGGCCGGGCCCCGTACCTGCACTTCTGGGAGAGGCTGGAGTGAGTTTTTCCTCTAATACCTCCTCCTCTCACTATCTCTGCTACATGCAGGATGCCAGATTTGATGAAAACGCGCTGAGCTGTTCTGACAAATCCTCTGTTCCTAAGTAGATAATAACCAGAAAATCTTCCTAAATAAATCCTGCTTTCGGATCTGTGCCCACACTCTCTATTCTTTTCGTACCAACTGGCTGCTCCTTCTTTCCCTGAACTGGGGGCATCCTCAGCCCCTTGAAGTAGAAAGGGGGCACAGATTTATGGCTGCTGAAGTCAGCATGGGACCAGGTGGAATTTTACGACTGTGAAAAATGAGAGACTGATTGGGCAGCATTAATGCACAAGTGACCAGAAACATTCCTCAGCTGAGCAGGGATTAAAGGTTGCAGATAGCTATAATCCCAAACTGCAGCAGAAAGTGCCGGGATACCTTTTCATCACATCAGCAGTGCAACGAAGCTGGCACACGGATCTGACGTGGAGAAAAGAGGAACATATGAGAATAATATCCATCGACTTCTCCTCTTTCTTCCTTCAGCATCAAGGTGTTATACTTGATATGTGCCATCCCGCTGGCAAAGGGGAGTCTCGGGCTCCATCTGTCCCCAAACTGGGACCAGGTCTGGTGCTGCTGGCAAACTGAACAAACGAAACTTCCTCGGGGAGTTTCACCGTGGATACGTTGAAGAAGGTGGTGGCTGCTACATTCCTGTGGCCACCAGCCCCGTCCACAGCATCTGCGGTCCAGCTTTCTGACCTCCTCCTTCCACCTGCAAATCCTCGGCGTGCGTCCAAAGCCGCTGGCTGGCAGCGTGGAGCTGCAGAGCAAGGCTCTCGCTCGCAGGAGAGGCGGCGGTGGCACCGCCAGCACAGAGCAGCGGGGCCGGGGGGGCTGAGCCCCTCTCCCAGCGGGCAGGGGCTCTCCCGGCCGGGCAGCATTCGCTTGGCAGCTGGGGTTTGCCCTCAGCTGGATACATTGCACAGAAAATTGGAAATGTTCTGCTGCTGTTCTAAATTTTCCAGAAGAAAGGAAAAACTCTGAGCAGTGATTTTTTTTTTTTTTTTTTTTTTTTTGTGAGTGACACAGCATTACCTGATGAATTTTCCTCAGATTCAGCCTGGTCCTTTACAATCTTCTTCATCTCCCACATTTCTACCTCTGGAGCCTGTGGTCACATGCGGTGAGCACTCCTCCCTGGCTGGTGCTCATAGACCATGGCTCTGGGGCAAGAGTATCGCTGGCATCCTGGTAGTTGCCTGGAAAATTAAGATATAATTTGGTCTTGCACCAGAGTCCTAAATCTCTTCCAGGCTGTTTGTGATTCAGTCCTTCATTGCCCTCATTTCTCATAAGTGCTGTCTCCAGTGCAGCCATCGTGCAGCGATAACACAGTAGGAGCCACAGTCCTTTGGGGTTGGGGAAGTATTTGAAGGAAAAAGTGATCCTGACCCCAGCAGCTTGGGCTGCTCTGCCTGCCCGGAGCAACGGGCTGGGCGGGGAGAATCCCCATGCAGCTCACTGGAATAATCTTAAAAATTATTTTTTACTTAACCCTTTCTCAGGCCCAGGTCCATAAGAGCCCAGCAAGTATTTTGCTCACACCCTTGCTCCACGACTTCAGCTCACCCCCACGCCACCCACTCCTTTACTCACATCCCTTTGTGCCTGGCAGCATGGGGTGGGGGGGGGGGGGCTCAGTCCCAGTGACACCCTCCTCTGCCACCTACCTCAGCCTGCAAAGTGTCACCGAAGGGTGACCTCAGTGCCAGAGCTCGACTCACCAAGCAGAGGTGAGGGATGCCATGGGATGGAGAGGGACTGGGGGGCACAGTGGCCTTAACCCACCCCCCTTCCCCCTTGGCTGGTCCAGCACCATAAGGGATGGCAGCAGGATAACTGGGTGGCAAAAGAAAAAAAAAAAAAAATATCCTGCTGCTGCCTGGCTGCTGGGGGAGGCAGGGGTGTCCCGGCGGTGGTTCGGGGGGGGTGGGGGGTGGAGGAGCAGGGCTCGCAGCCGTGCACCGCTGCGGTGTCACCAGGAGGTGGCACGGCGCGAACGGAGATGCTGCAGCCGGGACCCGCGGAGCCACCGCGCACCGCGCAAAGGGAGCGCAGTCATTCATTAGGGCAGTTCCAGGAAAGAGAAGAAAAAGGTTCGCGTCGTCTTTCTCGGAAACCCAGCGCGCAAAATCCTTTCACATGGTGGGGGAAGGAGAAAAAAAAAAAAAAAAAAAAAAAAAAAAAAAAGGCACAAACCCACATTTTATTTGCAGAGAAGGGAAAAAATGAGCACATTCCCCCCCCTTTTGAAAACATGCAGCTGTCAGAACATCCACTGCCTTGTGACCCCGTGTCCTTTCCGCATGACCAGAGCCTCTGCTGACTCCTGTTCCACTGCCCGGTGCCCTCATTCACTGCTCTAATATCCCATTCCTTAAGCAAACTGCACTTATGGCTTACATCATATTAATAGCCGGCAGCTTGCAGAGGTTTTTCCTGCAAAAGCAGACCCAGCAGCAGGGCCAGGACAGCCCGTGGCCCCCGAGCCTCCCACCCGCACGTCTCGCCCTGCTGATTCCCAGATGGGATCAAATGCATTTTCCCCAGAGGATGTGTTTAGCCCATCTTCCCTTGTGGGAGGACTCTTTAGGCACCTGTGACTGAGGTGATACAGCTGGAAATGGCAAAACAGTATTTTTTTCTAAACATTGGCCATCTCCCCTTTCTAACAAAGGCAGAACAGTGATGTAGAAGGAAGAAAACAGCCATTACAGACCAGAAGAAAGATTTACTTTCAATGAAACACTGATCTACAGGGCTTCTGCTAGAGCCATTGCATTTCAAGAAAATCACTGTCTATATTTCACTTGAGCAGATGAATCTGAAGTGCACTGCTACTGTTTGTTGGTAAACCATACACCATGCCACCGGGCCCGTGCCCGGTTAATATGGTGACTTCTTCCCAGAAAAGACTTCCTTCTGTCCCCAATTTTCCTTTCATGGATTTACACATCAAAAGTTAACAGAAAGAGTTAACAGTGACTTAATGGGGTCCCAGGAGAACAGGGACCAAGCACCCCCTTTGGCAACTTGTTGGGGTCCTTTGGGCACAGGAGCACAAGGACAGGGCAAGCGGCTGCTGCCCCTTCCCCAGCTGCTCCCCGGCTCAGGGGTCCCCTAAGCTGGGGGGGCTTTAGCAGCTCCCCATGGGTGATGTTTTTTGTGCAGGACACCCCCATGGAGGGCACGGGGGGGGGGGACACGACACGGAGCTGCTCCCAAGAGAGACCCTGTCTGTTTTACCTCTGTCACTGCTACAGCCAGTCTTCCAGAAAAGCCCCAGGACAGTAGATAGATGTTCTGCAAATGTAAGAAATCAGATGAAGAAGATGTTGCGCAATCATTGCTCACCGGAGTCCATTTCTCGCTTGTCAGTCCCTTGTGAGAGATGATTACAAATCCTCATGTGAAATGCGGTATAGCCCTGCTACGTAATGTTGGCAGGAGTCTTCTCTCCTGTCCTGAGAGAGAAACAAACAGCGGTTTCAAGGCCAGTTATTTTTCAAATAAGGCAAAAAAAAAAAAAAACCAACCCAAACCCCAACTTGCTTATTTCTGTTGTTGTTTTTGAATTTCTACTCAGCATCCTGAAAGCTCTTTAGAGGATTTGAATTTAGAACATGAAAATAATTTCTCACAGTGAGGCCAAAGAAAACCAAGGTGCGTGGGTGGAGGAAGCTGTGGCCCATGCCAGCAGCCAGCACCGGCGAGTAAAAGTCTTCAGCTGCCTAAGGTGACGCTGAGCACTGCCTCAAATCCTCTCTCATCCTATGGCACTCACTTTAAAGTCAGATAATAAATGTTTGCTAGGACTGGGAACGTAAGGACTGTTTCCAGAGCAGCCCCACGCAGACCTTGCCTCTTAGTCCATCTGTGGACACAGTACTTAAATAACTGCAGAAACCTAAAAAGATCATTTACAACTCAATCCTGACAGTACTACCTCCCTTCAGGACAGGGAGTTGCTGCTATCAGTTACCTCCTCGGAGACCTGCTGAGCCTGATGTGTGGTTGTTGGAGGCTGGGATCCCACCAGGGTCTGGGGCAGGTGATGGTGGGCAAAAATAGCTTCCTTCGCATGCTTGGAGGGGAAGGAAGATGGCTTAGGTCATCCTGGCAGCTTTTGTGGTTGGAGGAGCTGATGGCTGGGCTGGCTCTCAAGTCTGTGGGACATAAGAAGACTGTTGCAAAGAAGAAAGTTGCTCAAAGCAAGGTTCAGGCTGATGTGGCCATCTGAAAGAGAGCTGATTATTTATAGCATTATAGGTTCCTATAGCTGCATCCATTTACCTGGGAGAGACAATGTTGTTGATGGCAGTGACAATTCTTCCAGCAAAGCCGTGATATTTTACTGCCACAATGATGCAGAAGGACCTGTTCCAGTGTGCCCCAAATCCACAGGAAGGATTTGCCTTTGGCATCTGGGCTCCCACTGACACCCATCAACCATCTCTGACCCAACCCAAGACCTTTCCAGGGACATTAATTACAGGACTGGATGACTTCTGATATTTCCAAATAGTCAGAATTCATTCTGCAGAACATAAGACCCTGCAGGAGGGATATATTGAGTCTTCATGACGGTGGCATCCACCGTGACCACAGACACACAGCTGAATTTTAGCTCTGCTGCTGCACAGCTCCTTCCTTACCTGTCCATAAAACACCATCTGATCTCTGTGCCAGGATGAAGATGCACAGAGACAAACCGGACACCTCCACTTTGCCTAGAACACAAGTTCATGAACTTCTGCTATCATTCAAGCATGACCTAATTGAAACATCATGACTTACACAATCATCTCCTTCTCTATCCCCTTCTTCCACTCTTTTAAAAAACGTTTCCTGCTTTTTCCAGCTGGACAGGCTATCCTTCTGCCTTCTTTGAAGTAAATATTTTGTTGGGTTTGGCTGCTGTCACAGCCACACAGAGTCTTCTGCCTGATATTTTATCCATCTGCTGCTAAAGAGAATATTTTGAGCCGAGAGTCTCTAAACGGTTTTTGAGGTGCTGAGTATAATTAGAGAGTACCAATACAAGAGAAAAATCTTCTCAGCTTTCACGTGCATAGTACTTAAAGCTGTAAATGCCTTAAAAATGATATACTCTGAGAGATGCATGTTACAACATCCTGGTACTCACGTGCTGCAAACCGGAGGCCGTACGCTGGCTTGTATTAGCTGAGGACCTGATACACCCCGTCAACCCCCCTGCACACGAGGAGATGAAATCCAACACTGATTTCCTCTTTTGTCTCAAGCGAGTGGAAAAAGAGAATTGGACTCCCGCACTGCCGAGATTGCCAACATCTGCCTTGCCTCATTTCTTCTGCTTGAAGAACATCTGGCTCTGCTCTGGGACAGCCATGCATGGCCGGTCGTGTTGTGCGGGAATGAGCTGTGCTCGCTGTGATAAAGCCTCTCACGGGTCTGCCCGGCGGGAGCACGGCGTCTGCCCGGCTGGAGGTGCTGGCTGCCCTCGCAGCAAGGGAGACCGTGTGTTCACGGTGCCTTTCCTTCCAGAGCAGACACAAATAACTTTCTGTTTCATGCTGGTCCTGTATCCCGTAATTTTTTTTTTTTTTTTTCTTTTTTTTATCCCCCCCGGGTTGCTCTGAAGAAAGGATGGGTTTTGTTCAGCTGAACTATGAGATCTGGAGGTGCCTGCCTGCGATAAAACAAGCATGGCCGGGGCACTGTTGCTGTGAAGGGGGGATACAGGAGGGGATGAGGAGGTGCACAGGTTTGGGGGTACGCTTCCTTTAGCCCATGGGGTGTCTGCAGGCAGGACGCCATCCCGCAGGCAGCCCTGCTACTGGCTTCCTGCAGGACACCAGTCCTTTGCTTAACACTGCTCAGCTTTACCCTCCTCCTATCCTGCAGAAGTTTGTCTCATAGTTATTTTGAAGCTCGCACCACTGCTTTTTGTGAAGTTCCTTGAAATTCACAGAAATATCACTTTCTGTTGTTGTTGCTTACTTGCACTTAAGGGGAGTTACTTAACTAGCATTTGAACCAGATGACCTTCATAGCTCTGTCACAGCTGTGAGTGGATGGGATGATCTGGAAATCCCTGTCATTCCTGTCCAGACATTTTTCAAATACCCCTTTCCTCCCGAAAACCTTGCAGGTTGAAATGCTCTCACCAAGCTCCCAAACCTTGAACATGCACGTACCTTGCTCCTCTGGTCCTCAGCACCCAAAACCTCTCATTTTTCTCACCTTTCTCTGAAAGGCACGGGCTGCTCTTTGCTGTTGCTCCGAGATGACTCTTTGGTTTCAGGACCGGCGCTGGAGGCGACTGGTGGTGAATGGCCCTTTGTTGCTTTGCTGAATAAAGAGGGCATTATTAAATCTAATAAATAAGAATCTCCTTGTTAATAAGACTAATCTATCGCATGAGTTTCTGCAGGGGACGTGCAGCATCCGCAGCAGGGAGCTGCCTCACCTGCTTTGTGCTGGGACAACGGACACACGGACGCTGCAGGACGGCCAACACGCTCCGGTTCAGGTTTATCAGCAAAGACACCGTGTGCATGGAGGGCTTGTGCTGTGCTGGACAACAAGGAGAATACCCAAACATTAGGCCAGTTTTGGAGGTGGTTTGCAAGCTGGAGCAGGGTGCTTCCCACGGGGCTGCTGTCAGCCCCAGCACTCAAGGAGCAGGTAGAGCAATTGCAGCTGCTTGGGGATGTTTTTTCCCCTGCAGTGCTCCAGCTCAGGGCAGGGGAAAGGAGAGAGGCGGAGGCGGCCTCTGAAGGGAATATTTAAGAAGCCGGTTCATTTCCAGGAAATCGCTCTCTTGTTCTTTTTCTTTTCTTTTTTTCTTCTTTTTTTTTTTTTTTTTTCCAACGGAAAAGCTAAGTCTTCATGAACTTTTTGAGAACTTTTGTTCATTCTCTCTTGCCAGCTAAGCTCTGCTTTGTGCTGGTGACAGAACCCCTTTCTCCAAGCACTGGCCACGGGCCAGGACCTGGAAATCCTGAGTGTGTGCTGGAGATGCCACGAGCCCTATCTCTCTTCCCTCCAGGCTGATGCAAAAGCCCAGCTCCAGCCACCTCACCTTCAAGGGTCTTTTTCCTCCTCCCCCTCCTTGTGCAGGAGCTGATGGAGCCATCTCTGCTTTCTTTATTTTCCCCTGCAATGAAAAGCCCCAAATAACATGGAGAATAATCTGCCAAACTTGTGATAGCGGAGGTTGAAGTGTGTTGGTGGTAGTTACTTAGAAGAAACAGCTGTGCAAATTGGAAGGAATAGCCAAGGCAGGAGATGCTCTTCACCTCAGAAAACACAATTGCCACAAGAAGATTTCACACCTCAGTCCTGCTGTCTGCTTTCTTCTCTTCCCTGTATCCCAGTGCATTCCTCTTCCCTTCTCCATGTCCCAGAGATGCTCTCTCTGGGATGAGACTTGTTTTATTGCTGTTTGCATCTTTGCATCATTCAAAGACCTCCAAAGGGACCTGGTCCCCTCATGTTGTGTGCTAGAAAAAAAAGGATTTCTCAGTTAAAGAAGTGAGGGTTTGAGTGAAAGAGCAGAGATATGGACGGCAGAGGAGAGGGAAGCCAACATATTTCATAAGTCCCCTCAAACCAGCAGCCCTTGCAGCACAGATGCCCTCTCACCAGCAGCATCTCCAGAGGGGCAAAACACAAAATGCTGATGAAAAAACCCTCAACAGAAATGGATTGAATAAACTGTCATTATATCAGGAGGCTCACGGCTTGAGCTCACCACCACCACTGCTATCCCCCAGGCACTAAATAAAACTCTTCCCTTTCACTGAGTTCCCATTTCCCAGAGCTGAGTGTATGAACAGGTGACCAAAATGTTCAGTGATTTCACTTACACATTTCCCAGGGGTGGGGAGTTGAAACGGAACTATTGTGCAACCAGGAGGGAAATAATCATGATCTTTCTAAATATGTGTCCTCCAACTGCCAAAATATGTTTTGAAGCTGAGTGGGGAATGTGCACAAGCAGTGATTGCAACACAGCCATCGCTGCAGTTTATATAAAGAGAATTGGACTTAATATATTCTGTGAGAGTTTTAACCTTTCCAAATGAGCTGGGCACATGGATAACATGTGCTTGAGTTGTCAGGAGGAAAATCATAGAATAGTTTGGGTTTGGAGGGACCTTAAAAGGTCATCTAGTCCAACCTCTCCTTCCATGAAGGACATTTTTAATGAGATGAGGTTGCTCAGAGCCCTGTCCAACCTTACCTTGAATGTTTCCAGGGATGGAGCATCTACCACCTCTCTGGGCAACCTGTTACGGTGTTTCACCACCCTCTTCATAAAAAATTTCTTCCTTAGATCTGGTCTAAATCTACCCTTTTTTAGTTTAAAACCATTCTCTCTTGTCCTATCGCAACAGGCCCTGCTAAAAAGTTTGTTGCCATCTTTCTTATAAGCCCTCTTTAAGTACTGAAGGGCGGCAATAAGGCCTCCCCGGAGGTTTCTCTTCTCCAGGCTGAACAACTCAGGCTGGTTTCCAGAGGGAGGAGTGACAACCATTCACCCCAGCATCAAGGGAGGGCAGGGATGAACGCTCTTGCCAAGCCACGCTGCTGGGGATAGTAAACATGAGGGGCTACAACTGCCTGGCCAGCAGCCCTGCACCCTCTGCAGCCACCTCCATCCCCAGGGAAGGAGTTTGAGGTGCTCAGCTGTTTCTGATGGTCCACAGCAATAATGACATATGAGGGTGTAACCGCAGTTTCTATAGAGACATTTATTGGAAGGGTATAAAAATAGAGTGCAAATTTCAATAAGATGTATTTAAACACATCGTAGGCAAAGAGTTCCACACGTTGGTGGGAGGGGAGCCCGGAAGGCTGGCAGTGTGTGCAGATTCCCTGATGCACCCAGATCCACTGAGCAAAGCAGAGCCTCGATCCCCAGAGATGGGTTATGACTCTTCTTTCTGCAAACTTTTCTGTCCCTCAGCCTCACGCTGCTCTCACCAGTGCAGACACTATTTCATCAACCAGCCATTGGAAATGCAGCTTGGGGTAGGGTTCATTGTAGACACCTGCAGAGTCCAGGAGAAATGTCTTCAGCATCGGAGAGGAGCCTTCAGCCGATGCTTGCTGGAAAGGCAGAGCTTGTTCCTCCTCTTTTGGTACGCTGATAATGGTAGTAAATATGTGCAGTATCGCACAAGTTAGGATAATACTGAGTAATGTGTAAATGAGCATCTTAGATCTTTAACAGTCCTCCTGCTGAAGTTGTTTCCATTCGAAAGTCCCATCCAAAGTCAGATCAAAGTTATCCTTTTCCTGCTCTCGGGAGAGTTCCAAAAACACCTGAAATGGGAAAGATAAAACTGATGATTTCTCCAACTTTCACTAGACACTGTGATGCTCCTTTACAGGAGATACAACTCTGCAACCCCTCTGAGAGGTATGTGAAGTAGCTTTATGTAGGGAGCACGTACACAGTAGAGGAGAATCCTGTGCTCTCTGGTATAATCTGCTGAGAGGCATCGGGTTTACCTACCAAGAGTAGGCTTTACCCACCAATGGATGGCCATAAAAATTCCTCACCTTGACCACCAGCCTTGTACAAGCAGCAGTAACCTGCTGCTTCAGGAGCAGCCACAGAGCCTGGGCACCTACCAAGGGCATCCATCCCTTGGATGTGCTGCATGACTGTCTTGACTGAACGGAGACAGGCAGCAACACTTTGCCCAGGTTTGTTCCCACCATGCTAAATCTCAACAGTGATGAAAACCAGCCCATTTTTCACCACTTTCCCAGTAAAGGAGCCCTCTCCCACCACCCCCAAGCAGTTTTTTGGCGGCGCAGCCTTCTGCTGCTGCACCGGCCCAGGTCTCACTGCGGCTTTTGCTCCTGCTTATGCCTTTACAGAACGTCTAGCCTTGAAACCACCTGCCTGAGCCAAAGTATTCAAAGAGAAGCTGTACTCCTCGAGGTTGAAGTTCCGTTTGGCTGTGGAGAAATGGAAGGAGAGTCGAAAATTAGCAGTCTGTGTTCCACCTTTTCAAAAAGTCAACTTGTTTTGCTCTTACCTTCCTCTAGCTTGGAGAAGGACTGAGACAGGGGCAGTGCATCTTCCATTGGGATCTTGTAGACTAGCAAAGAGGGGAACCTTGAAGAAAAAGAAGAAAAGGCAAGTCTTGCTCTGTATTGAGATTCTGGGATCTAAACTTTATGTCACGCTATGAGCTGGATGTGTGGACGTTTTGCTGCAGGGATCACAGCAGGGTTGGATGTGCTGACATCAGCAAATCAAATCCCCAAACAGGGACTCTGAGTTGTTCAACCCTCTCCAACTGAGATCCTGTGTCTGGCCATCACACTGGGTACATTTTTAGGGATGAGGTAGTGTTGAAACCACTATTCATCT